AGTGGTCGGGCGGGCAAGAGCGTGTCCGCTGCTATGAACATCACTGCCGATGATCTGGGAATCTGGAGCATGCTAATTCGCCGATCAGGTGACGGCGGCCAATGGGAGAGTGAAGCGTCGGCTGGCTGTGTTTGAAAAAGTTCCCGCGCATGAGATGCTGTGCCCTGGGAACCCGGCTAAGAGCAAGCGTTGGCCGGCGATTCCAGTTGCTCCCCATCTCTCGTTCATACATCTGAAATTTCTAGCCCAGGCATTTCTCATCATGGATTTCGAAGCTATTGAGGACCAGGACGGCATCCGCTGCTCGTGGAATGTGCTCCCGAACACACGCATTGAGGCGACTCGCTGTGTGGTTCCCGTGTCGACTCTGTACACGATTCTCAAGGACCGGCCCGAGCTGCCACCCGTCGGCTATGAGCCAGTTATGTGCAAGGCGCCGTGCCGCGCAGTGCTGAACCCGTATTGCCAGATTGATGTGCGTGGCAAGCTGTGGATCTGCCCGTTCTGCCTGCAGCGCAACCAGTTCCCGCCCCACTACAAGGACATCAGCGCGCACAACCTGCCGCCCGAGCTGCTGCCGCGCTACACGACGATTGAGTATACCCTGGCGCGCCAGTCGCCGGTGCCGCCCGTGTTCATGTTTGTCGTCGACACGTGCCTCGAGGAGGACGAGCTCAAGGCGCTCAAGGACAGCCTTATCCTGTCGCTGTCGCTGCTGCCGCCGACGGCACTGGTGGGTCTGATTACGTACGGCACGATGGTGCAGGTGCACGAGCTCGGGTACCAGGACTGCCCCAAGTCGTATGTGTTCCGCGGCACCAAGGACTACAATGTCAAGCAGGTGCAGGAGATGCTGGGCATTGGGTCGAGCATCCGCAACCAGCCGGGGTCGGCGCCGCACCAGCCGCAGCAGGCCCAGCAGGCGTATGGCGCCGACCGCTTCCTGCAGCCTGTCGAGCAGTGCGAGTTTACGCTGACCAGCATCCTCGAGAACCTGCAGCGCGACCCGTGGCCGGTGGCCGCTGATAAGCGCCCGCTGCGCTGCACTGGTGCCGCCATGGCTGTCGCTGTAGGCATGATGGAATCGGCGTTCCCGAACGCCGGTGGCCGCGTCATGCTCTTCTGCGGCGGACCTGCCACCCAGGGCCCTGGTATGGTTGTCGGCCCCGAGCTCAAGGAGCCGATTCGCAGTCACCACGACATCGAGAAGGAGACCGATCGCCACTACCGCAAGGCTGTCAAGTTCTACGAGGCTTTGTCGAAGCGGTCTGCAGCTGCCGGACACGCCATCGATATTTTCTCGGGCTGCCTGGACCAGGTTGGTCTGGCCGAGATGAAGTCGCTGGTGAACTGCACTGGCGGTGTCATGGTGCTGACTGACTCGTACGTGACCTCCATCTTCAAGCAGTCGTTCCAGCGCATCTTTGAGAAGGACGACCAGGAGCAGCTGCAGATGGGCTTCAATGCGACGCTCGAGGTGCAGACCACCAAGGAGCTCAAGGTGTGCGGCCTCATCGGCCCGGGGATTTCGGCCAACAAGAAGACAGCCATTGTTTCGGACACGGAGATCGGCATTGGCAACACGTCTGCATGGCGCCTGGCCACCGTCACGCCGCACACCACTGTTGGCGTGTACTTTGAGGTCGCCAACCAGCAGAGCCAGGCACTGCAGCCCGGCTCGCGCGGCCTGATCCAGTATGTGACTACATACCAGCACTCGTCGGGTCAGTACCGCATGCGCGTGACCACCATTGCGCGCAACTGGGCCGAGGGCTCAGCGCCCGAGATCCCGGCGTCGTTCGACCAGGAGGCTGCGGCTGTGCTCATGTCTCGCATCGCGGTGTTCAAGGCAGAGCTGGACGAGGCTGCCGATGTGCTGCGCTGGCTGGATCGCATGCTGATCCGTGTGTGCCAAAAGTTCGGCGACTACCGGCGCGACGACCCGGCGAGCTTCCGCCTGGCACAGAACTTCTCGATCTACCCGCAGTTCATGTACCATCTGCGCCGCTCGCAGTTCCTGCAGGTCTTCAACAGCTCGCCCGACGAGACCGCCTTCTACCGTCACTGCCTGTTCCGCGAGGACACCAACAACTCGCTGATCATGATCCAGCCCACGCTGATGTCGTACGGCTTTGAGGGCCCGCCGGCGCCGGTTCTGCTGGATTCGGTCTCGATGAAGGCTGACGTTGTGCTGCTGCTCGACACGTTCTTCCACATTCTGACCTGGCACGGTGAGACCATCGCCGAGTGGCGCAAGGCCGGGTACCATGAGCAGCCCGAGTACGAGAACCTGAAGCTGCTGCTGGAGGCCCCCGTCCAGGACGCCCAGGAGCTGCTTGTCGACCGCCTGCCTGTGCCGCGCTACATTGTGTGCGACCAGCATGGCTCGCAGGCCCGCTTCCTTGTCAGCAAGCTGAACCCGTCGACGTCGTACAACAATGCCAACCAGTACGGCGGCGGTGAGGCCGTGCTCACTGATGACGTCAATGTCAACTCGTTCCTGTCGGCCCTGAGCGCCCTGGCCGTCAAGGGTGCTTCGTAAAGCGCTCCTTATAATTTCCATGAGCAGAACAAAATGCAATCCGCCTATTTACATCGAAAAAGGCATATACCACATCATTATGTCCTATGTTGGTGGCAGTACGTTGTTATTCTAAGCAATTGGATCCCTGGACAGCTGGCGCGCCAGCTCAATCAGCATACGCGTCGGACGGCCCGTCATGCCAGCCGAGTGGTACCCGGTCGAGTTGCTTGTCTCCATAGGCCCCGCAATGTCAAGATGCGCCCACCTCGGGATCTCCTCGTCGTTTGTCTGCTCCGCTGGCACCTTGGGTGGGGTCAGTCTTGGGCCATTGACGAACTGGCGCAGGAACGCCGCCGCCGTGCATGAGCCAGCCTCGCTCTTATTTCCAATGTTGGATAGATCTGCCACATTCGACTTGAGCATCGTGTCCCAGGTGTCGTGCAGGGGCATGCGCCAGACTGCCTCGTCAGACGTCTTGCCGGCCTTCTCGATCTGCTGCCAGAGCTTGGGGCTCGCAGAGAACACGCCCGTGTACAGCTCACCCAGCGCCACCACCATCGCACCCGTGAGTGTCGCCACATCGATGATGTTCTCGGGCTTGTGCTGCTCGACCGTGTAGTGCAGCGCATCAGCCAGCACAATGCGACCCTCGGCATCGGTGTTCATGACTTCGACCGTCAGACCGGCCCGCGACGTATACACATCCGACACCTTAGTCGCCTTGCCATTGATCATGTTCTCACACAGCGGCACGGTCGCCACCATGTTGATCGGCAGCTGGAGCTCAGCAATCGCCCTCATCGCCGACACAACCGTCGCGCCACCACCCATGTCGCCTTTCATCATGTCCATGGACTTCCCTGGCTTCAGGCTATAGCCTCCGGTATCAAAGGTGATACCCTTGCCAACCATGGCCAGGCTGACAGAGTCCGAGGAAGGCGCACCGCGGTAGATGATCTCAAGGAACTTGAGCGGCTCGTCGGAGCCCGCGGAAACTGCCAGAAGGCCGCCCATGCGCTGCTGCTCGACCCACGCCTTGTCGTAGATGTTTACCTGCACGTTCGCAAACTTTGAGAGCTCCGACTGCATGCGCTCAGCGAAGATGGTCGGCGTCATGTAGTTTGCGGGTGTGTTCGTCAGATCGCGCGCCAGGTTCTGCGCCTCCGCATACACCTTGCCGACCTGCCACGCTTCGCTGGCCGCACTAGTCACCGAAACTGGCGTCTTCTCCTCTCCCTGCTTGCTCTTGAACTGATCGAACTTGTACAGGCCCAAGACTGCACCCTCGCCTGCCGACTGCGCACACGGCATCGGCGCAACATTCACTGTCTCGACGCTCTGGGCAGCCAGCTTCTTGATGCCAGTAGCAACAGCCTTGCGCACAATTTCTGACGTGTGCTGCTCCAGCTGTGCGGTGCTTCCCAGGCCGACAACTGCGATCTGGGTGGAGCCATCAGAGCTCAAAACTACGTGCACATCGCCAACGTCGCCCTTGGTGCCCAGCGCAGAGACCTCAGATTGGATCTTGGCTGCCTGCTCACCAGTGATCTGCACCTTGTCGCCCATGTACAGCTTGTTGTCGAGAAGACCAATTACAAGACCTTGCTTGGCAGCAGATCGAGAGACGGTTGCCGAGAAGAGGCGTTTGAGAACAGCCGTGGCTGGAACTGCGTGAACCCGCGTAATTGCCTGCATTCTTGTACAAAGGAAAAGTATGGCTAGGTATAAAAGCAATAAGCTAAGGAGAACAGAAAGGAGATACTTCCTGTAAGACATACAGAGACCAGCCCTTCATGCAGCGCAAGATATCGAGCAGATTCGGAGACCAGACGTCATTTGCTCCTATCGGTGATGAATTACAGCAAGTGATCATAATCAAGGTAATACGGTCTCAGTCTGTGCTTCTTCTACTTAGCTGGGCGGTCATGGCGACATTACCATGGCGAAGACAACTCATTTCAAAAGTCAACAGTAGCTGCTCAATCTGCCGCGCAAGCAGCATGACCCTCTGCTGGTATTTCTTTTCTGGTACATATTTGGCCCAGGAGATGATGGTCGGCCTGACAGACTGACACTCCAAGCACACTCGCCTCATACTTCATACTTCACACCTTTTCGATATCCTCTATCTTTACATTTTACACATACAGTGCCAAATATCTCTGCTGTGCTTCAGCCTAGCGGTATTTGCCGTTATTTACGGCACTCCACCGGTTCTCCGGGGGTACGGATCTCGCAACTCAGGATTACCTGAGTGGTAACAAACATTATCTCTAGGCAAAATGAAGAATAGAAGACGGTCAGAATTCAAAATGCTATCAGCAAATAGTCCAGAGTCACTTCATCCAAACTGGCATGAAAGGATATCTAGATTCAAGACGCCAAACATAATAATGTATTTAGGAATTCGGTCGTACAGTAGTAGATTTTGCGTTAAATACCTGTATCATTTGTTTGTGTGGCTATGTGTAGTGTTGTGAAGGCAATAGCATGCGAAAATATTTAGAAGGAAAAAGCAGATATTCGAAACTAAAAAGATAATAGAAAAGATACCAAATGCTAGAGCTGCACCCCTTTCAGGCCTGTAGCATAATGGTGCATTCCTGAGAAGGGTGGGCACATGGGCTCCTTGTCAGTCCCTATGTTGGCATCACTGTGGGTGTCCACGGTGACAATACCACCGGTGGTATTGTTGCTAGGTGCGCAACAATATTAGATTCCTCTTTTACACAAAACCACTGCAAATATATAGCGCTAAACCTTCTGGCGTTTCGGATCTGGCTCATTCGTGTCGTCGCCATCGTCTGAATCATTGCTGTCGCCGTCATCGCTGTTGTCACTATCGTCACTGTCGTTGCCCCCGGCGTTAGCTGGGCCGGCGTTTTCCTGAGCAAACTTCCGGATACACCAATCCTCATATTCAGGCAATGCCGCGTAGCTTTTAAAGCTGTGGAAATGCGTTGAACTCCCAACCAGATCACCGAGGATCTCGGCCAGACCAGTCACCCAGTCGTGGATTGCGGTTGACTCCAGGCGCGGATCTCTATCCTTAATATTGAGGGTAGTACCTGGCTTGTGTTCGCTGAATAGCAAACGATAAAAGAGCCCAAGTAACTTGCGCCAACTTGTGTGGCACCTCTCGGAGATATATGCCATGCAACTCTTCTCGGTTTGGAGCCAGTCCTCGCGTTTGTGCAGCAGCTCCTTGTCATCAACGCTGTTGCCCCAGATGGCATCCATTTCCGATTTGCTCCTGCTGGTGTTAGGGAATACCTTGTAGATCGCGTGGAAGAGTGTGAGAAACATAGACTCGATATCGTCGACCAGCGACCTCCATTCCGTGCCACTGAGAACGCGCCATCCCATGTAAACCCTCGTCCCAGTGATCGCAACTACGCCAACATCATTTACACGGCGGCCATCGCATAGAATGAGTGCAAACTCCCAGTCAATAACAAATGGCTCATCATCAGCACACCGCTTCCCGTTGCGTACCAGCAAGTTGCCTGATGAGATGTCGCGGTGGATCGTTGAGGGCTCGCCAGCCGATGCAGCAAATAGGGTGTGGAGATATCCAGCAGCGACGTTGACCAAGCGCCACTCATCGGCAGAGTGCGCCTTAATATTAGCGACGAACTCGTCGATTGTATCCCCACAGTCCTCCATGAGATAGGCTTCACCTCGCATCGATCCGATATTCGCGTTGACACCACCTATGTGGGCAAATTGCCCATGCCAGTGTACCTTTGGCGTGTGTGGAACGCCGGCTAGAGCCAGCTGCTCATAGATATACGACTCGCGTAGAAGACGACTCTTGCCCCATAGCACTTTGAGGAAGCAGGGGGTCTCGCTACCAGTAGTATTCGAAATGGCTTTACAGCCCCACGAGATTGTGCCGACTGGCCGTTGGCAGCGCCCCAATAGCTCCGACCTGCCAATGAGAGGCGTGATGGTTATAGACTCAAGGCGGCTCGATGTAGCTGCAGCGCCGAAGGGATCAGAAATAGCGCTAGGCTGAATCATCCACAGAGGTTCCACAGGAGCAACAACGATCGGCTTCACGAATGTGAAGGGGGAAACACAGTTCCTCTCACAGGGGAAAAGCCATCCAAAGTGGCTAATAGGCAGAGTAAATATGGTCAAGAGGAATCGTACAGTATCTTTGCAGGCATCCACGTTGGAGGGCTGGGAGATTTCGCCCGCTTGGTCCATGGAGAGCACACAGTGCCCGATGCCCTTGGAACGTTTAGCCGTATCGTCGCTGTACTTTATGAACGGCAGCTTACCAACCTCTGCTTTGCAGATGCCACCGCGTGTGTTGGAGAAGGCCCAGAGCTTGCCCTCAATCACCATCATTCCGACGCAATGGATTCGCCAGTAGCTCTCCCACATGCGGAGAAGGTAAGTTGAGAGTTGGCCATGGCTTTTCGTATCCGTAGCTGGTATACGCGCTCCCTTAAGCTCGACGAATGAAGCCATGTCATGCCACCTGACATGCTCATTTTCGCACCATCCCGTCGGAACTATGCTAATGTCCGGCTTACCTTTCCCATCGATTTCCTTGTTCGATGTCACCAGGTAACCCAAAGTACGCGCACCGGGGACCGATTTGTCGAGCTCCTCGACAATGCTCTGGAGGAGGAGTGCGAACCCGGCTTCGACCGAATCTTCTTTGTGCAGCCCCTTACCCTCGAGCACATTGGGGATTCCAGCTCTTGGAGTGTGGCTGCGGTACCGCCTCTCGAATTTGGAAATAATATTGGTGACAAGATCGGTGCCATCAGGCAGGGGGTCACCATAAGCAAGGCTGGTCTTTAAGTCCACCAGTATACTACTGCGAGTAGTTATGGCAAGCCACTCCCTCTTGCATTTTGCGCCCCGATACTGATACATGTCCTTGATCTTGCCCGGCTTGTGCGAGGATATTTCGCCCCTCGCGTAGGTTGAGCCTATATGAGATAGTATTGATTGAGTTATGTGCATCTTGTAAGGCCTATCGCTCTGGATGGTAAGAGGATACTCCTGCAGCTGAATATCAAGCAAGCAGATGCTGGATTATTATATTGCATACTTACGTCTATCAGTGATACTGCTTGTGTTTCGTGATCCTCTTTTGTGGCCCTTAGATAGCTGACCACCTTGCTGACCAGATGTGTTCTAGTTCGAGGAAATAAAGGTGTAAATTAGCACAGTGAATGACAAGGGCTTGCACAAAACAACGAGACACCAAATGCTGTGATGCCATATCTTAGCCATTTTTGGACCTACCTGTGAGCTGTGACCAGAGTCCCGTCCCCTTCTTACGTTGGTACTACTGGCTGGCCCCTTGTTATTGAGAGCCACAAGGAGGTTCATTAACCTTTCATCGCGCTTTGCCTGTTCTGCGTCTCGTCTCTCGTCACGCTCAGCCTGTTCTGCGCCTCGTCTCTCATCACGCTCAGCTTGCTCTGCCCTCAATTTCTCGTCTCGTTCTGCTTGGGCAATTAGAAACTTGCCCAAAATGCTTTCCAAGTGCGATAAATCCATGTCAAGGAGGCGTGAAATTACTAGTGTGGCCGAAAACCTAAGGCTGTAATGAAAAGAGAGAGCAATTGCTGGATAAACCGAAACCAGAATGTCAGTATGAAAAAATACACAGAAATTGAAATGCAAGAAAGAGTGCAGGAGAAAAAGCAATTGTTTTTCTTCCTAATATACACAAGCATTTGCGCAGTTGAGTCAGTGTTGACACTAACAAGACTTGCAGAACCCCTTCTATAGCATTAATCCCATGTGATGGATGTAATTAGATTAAGCAACTCGCTGCATTGTAGCGATGAGGATGGAGTAACAATTCCAAATGTCAGCCGTAGCTACCCAGTCTACATAGCAGACAAGGAGATCCTCTGTTGGCTTTTCCGGTTCATATTTGGCCCAGGAGATGATGGTCGGCCTGACAGACTGACACTCCAAGCACACTCGCCTCATACTTCATACTTCATACCTTTTCGATATCCTCTATCTCTACATTTTACACATACAGTGCCAAATATCTCTGTTGCGCTTCAGCCTAGCGTTCTTTGCTGTTATTTACGGCACTCCACCGGTCCATCAGAGTATGGCTCTTGCAGTCCGGATGATCTTGAACAGCAATAACTTGTCTCTTGGGTCAGAAGCTAATGTACTCTACACACAATCAAGCCCAAGTGAGCAGACTGTTCCATCAACAACATGCTGAAGAGGGATTGAAGGATTTGCCTACTTCACCTAACTGGTCTTAAACCCATGTATTTTTGACTTCGCTTACAATGACTGCCACTAGTTTACCGCACACCCCGTCGGGTGCAAAGTGCAAACGGACAAGCCTCTCTATATATGGCACAGATAAACGATACGATCAGCCATCAGCTACATCCAAGAGTATCAGGAGGAACATGTCTATGGACACATCTGGGACTCAGGAGGAACGGGAAAGGCAAGCAGAAAAGTTAGCTATGGAGCGCCTACGGGGAATGAGTGATGCTGTGCATAACATGGCAATACCTGAGAACTCGATGAACAGCAGCCTTGCTGATGAACTGGTGATTTTCACAGCCGAGTTACTTGGGAAATACATACACAGTGATGATATGCTACATGGTGCTCATCACTCGCCCTATTGACTTTGACTTCGATTCTAGAAAGCATCTTAACATGTCATTTGAAGACATTGGAAAATTTGGCTCAGGAGGTTTCGACAAACTAAGCTGTTTTTAGGGGTTCAGTACAGTTTACACCAAATATTATTGCTGTTGGCCAGAGAACAGGAGGCTACAATTTTTATGGATTGGGCGATCTGAAAAATGCATCAAATAGACAGACAGCATTTCGCAATAACATTTACGGCTTATTTTCCAGTGATTACCCTTGATCAGGATGTTTGAGATTTTAATGCGAGCGTAATGCTGAACTGCACATCCAAAACAAAAGCACAAGAGGTATGCAAATCGCCGCTTGAAATTGTCCGCTTATCTCACGAAGAGCTGTACTGGTCAAAGTCTGGAAATCTCTGCATTCTGGCAACTGGTTGCCGCGATATGTGGCGGAACATAGGGAGTCGCTTAAGGCGGACTGATGACTAATACATTGAGAACCTGGTATTTTATTTTTATATTGATGCCTCTCTTTTGCCCGAATCACGCTGGACCGGGGAAAAGGCATTCGAGAAGGACGTGGAAGAAGCGTTCCCAGCCTGAGTCTGACAAATGCAAGAAAAATAAGAGGTGGACACCAAAATCCGCTGCATGCCTTCATGAAGTGCGGGGCTTCATCAACAGAACAATAGCCCGTGCATGCATGTGTGTAACTGCGAGCGGTTCCGCGTTATCCGGGATGGAGGGAATTTAGTGCTGTTTTTTCCGGAGTTTGACGGCTCCGACAGTACAATTTCTGGATACTTATGAGGTTAATTCAGAGCCTGAATCTAAGGGCCGATCCACTGCGGCCAAACCCCCATGATGCCATTGGCTAAGATCGCCCAAGCATTGTGCAATGGTCGTCTCTACACGCTGCTGTTCTTGCATGTCCTGACAAATGCACACAAGAGCAAGGCAGGGAAGCGCTCTTCAGGTTGAAACAGAATTTGTTAACACCCGAGGAGAGCAGTCAGAGAACGCAATGTATAAAAGCGCAGCCCTCTGGCTGTGACTGGTGGCTGACTCCATACGCCGTACAACAATACATACACTACTCATATACCACTAGACAGATCCAGGCCTACAAATGTCCGATATTAACTCGTCAAATACTTCTTTTGCTCACCCCGGCAACGAAGAGAAATCCGCCGAGGCTCCCTACACTGCAGACCCACGCCTGCCTATTCTCTCGTGGGACAACCTCAACTATGATGTCAAGACCAAGGATGGCGGAACCCGGCGAGTGTTGCACGATATCAGTGGCGCCATCTACCCAGGCGAGCTGGTTGCCATCATGGGTGCCAGCGGCGCCGGCAAGACCACACTACTCAACATCTTGTCAGGCCGTGTTCAAGGCGGCCGGCTGTATGGCGACATCAAGTTCAACGGAAACAAGCGCGACGCACACTCATTCAAAAGACTGTTGGCATTTGTCGAGCAAGACGACCTGATGCATGCTTCGCTGACCGTTGAGGAGACCCTGCTGGCTTCAGCACGACTGCGCCTGTCCGATACCAAGTATACTGATGAGGACAAGAAGACACGGGTTGCTGAGATCCTCCGGCAGCTGCGCTTGACCCATGTGAAGGATACGCCTATTGGCGGGCACTTCGAGCGCGGTGTCAGTGGCGGTGAGCGCAAGCGTGCCAGCATTGGTGTAGAGTTGGTCACAGATCCAGCTATTCTTATGCTTGACGAGCCATCGTCTGGCCTAGACTCGACGTCGGCTGAAATGGTCGTTGCGCTGTCGAAGGAGATGTCGCGCAAGCGCAATCTTGGCACACTTATGACTATCCACCAGCCGAGCACTGAGATGGTGGGCATGTTTGACAAGCTGATTCTGCTCTCTCAGGGCAAGCTCGTTTACATGGGGCCTGCAAAGGACGCTGTCCAGTACTTTGCACAGCTCGGACATCCAAGCACTAACCCGAACCCCGCAAACTTTTTCATTGACCTGATGTCAATTGACTTTGCCTCCGACGAGGCAATGCAGGCGAGCGAGCTGCGCGTGCAGAAGCTAGTAGATGCGTTTGCCGAGTTCCGGGCTTCTGGTGAGAAGCTCCATTGGCCTACAAACAAGCATATTACTGGCTCAGGTCACGACACGCCGGTGAATGGGAGCCAGGACATTTCAGAGCGCTTTAATGCCCTGCAGCCCGACATTTCCGACGAGCAGGCATCTTTGGTTGTCACCGAGCCGCTGCCCATGAACAGGTGGATCCGCGAGACATGGGTGCTGTTTGAGCGCGACTGGAAGCTCCAGCTGCGCAACAGCGGACTTGTCAACGGCCTGGTGGCTCAGTGTCTCATTTCCATGCTGTTCATTGGTTTCGTGTTCTTCAAGCTCGGCAATTCGGAGGAGTCGGTGCAGAACCGTATTGGTGCTCTGTTTGCAATGGTTCTTCTGTCGGTCTTCCCAGTAGTTATCCCCGTAATGACCATGGTGTTGTCAGGTCGGGCAGTGCTGTTGCGTGAGCGGTCGGGCGGCGCATATCGGATGTCGAGCTACTTTGTGTCTCGGGTGCTGAGCATCATTCCGCTGGTGTTTGTGCCCTACTTTATCATGTATATCGGGATTTACTTCCTGGTGAAGTTCCAGGTGGACGCAGGCAAGTTCTTCATTGGGCTGGCGGTCTTTGTGTCCATTCTGCTCGCTTCCTTGGCGTTTGCCTTCGTAGTAGCAATGCTGGTGAATTCGATGGAGGTCGCGCACATCATCACACCGCTAACGCTGGCCATGCTAATGCTGTTTGCTGGCAACATGGCCAACTCGCACAGCATCACGCCAGTGCTGCGCTGGATCAAGTACATCTGCATGATGTACTATTCGTACTCGGCATTTGTGCAGAACGAGTTCAGCGGGCTGACCTTCAACTGCAAGGAGGGCTCAGTGTCGTGCTACCGCACTGGCGAAGAGGTGATTGCTGGGTACAGCCTCGGAAACGAGACCATTGCAGAGTGCATTGTCATCAACCTGGCACTGGCGGTTGGCATGTATACCGCTGCCTATATGCTGCTGAGGTGGAAGATCAAGCCCAAGTATCTGTTTGTTTAAGGGCACATTAATTATGTTAATAGCAACTGTCTTCTGAATAAACTAGAATTGCTCTGCTCGCGATGCGAGCTCGGCTGCTAGTCAGCATGGGTTGACACGTCGATAAGGGCATCACGGCGAACCGGTCATTTGAACGTGTCGGATGGTTGTTGGTGCAATGTCGACCATGGACATCTCCCACCTTGGTGGCCTGCTCAGTGTAGGCGCTTCAGCGCTGGCTCGCTGCTGCTGCTGCACGCCTCTTGCGCGGCCTCTTTGTTGCAGGGGTGGTGCCAGAAGCATTGGCAGTAATGGCCGTAGAGCGACGGAACCGCTCAGGAACATTGCCTGAATCACAGAGTGATTGGAAAACGAGTCTGAAGTTTAGAATTGCTGCGAGATCGCGGTTCAAGAGCCGAGACGAATAGGCTCGCCTGTATTGTGCCATGGCCTGCTTACATGACTCGCTTGTACAGCGGAGAAGGCCATGGCACTTCACAGTTGGGTTCTTCGATCTCTGGTAGGGCCGCGGGTTGGGAACATGCCGGAATTTCTGCTGCTGCTGCAGTTGCTGCAGTGGCCTCTGTTGCATCCGATGGCATCTTCGCTGCTTCGCGTGCAGCCTTCTTGGCCAATTTTTCGCCCTTTTCTGCTGCTTTCCTTGCCTCTGTTGCTGCCCTCTTTGCTGCGTTGATCTTGGTAACCTCCTCACGTGTTTTCGAAACAAACACCTGCTTGATTATTTGCTTGTCTAAGCGCACATGGCCTGGGATCCATGATGTCCGCAGAGGCAAGCATTGGGGGGGAGACTTGCCAAGCTGCTCATTCTCGATAAGCTGGCATAGGCGAATGTATGCACGCAGATGCTTAAGTGG